TTACAGTGTGCCACAGGTTACATGGCTTCAGTGGTAGAGATGCTTCTGCCGCAGCCAGATTTACTGAGGAGTCCATGTTTACCCTCTGGGCCATGATGGGAGCCTTGCAGCCTTTTGTGTCCCCTAATATATATGTCAAAACTCTATTTCCAGGTATGAACACTGGCCCTTCAGTATCCAATGAGACCTACCAGACATTGAGTCCTCTACTTTTTTAAAGAGATGCCCCGGCGTGCACCAAACCCATGTAAACATAAAAGTTTCACTGATGCACTTTGGGAGGCCGAGGCGGGTGGATCACGAGGTCAGGAGATCGAGACCGTCCTGGCTAACACTGTGAAACTCCGTCTCTACCAAAAATATAAAAAATTTGGCGGGCGCCTGTAATCCCAGCTACTCGGGAGGCTGAGGCAGGAGAATGGTGTGAACCCGGGGGGCGGAGCTTGCAGTGAGCCGAGATCGCGCCACTGCACTTCAGCCTGGGCGACAGAGTGAGACTCCGTCTTAAAAAACAATTTTATTTTTCTCTGATGTGATGCAGTGGCCATTCAATCTTTGTTGTATTCACAACTCACTGAAGTGTATGCATCTTACCAGAGTTTCCAACGTGCTTGCTCCTTCTTTCTCATCTAGTTCAATTTGTACAATGTCATTAGCATAGTGAACAAGAGTTAAATTTTGTAGGCTGTCCAAGCAGTCCAGGTCTCTTCACTATATTATGATAAAGAGTGGGAGAGTTAACAGACCTGGGGTAAGAATGTAAGTGTTTACTCATGTCAGCCCTAAATAAATACCGAACATTTTTGGTACTCATTTGTTAAAAGAGATAAAAAATAATTCTTTTGCCAAATTAGTGGCCATATTTTCTGTACCTGAGGGTGGGGTAATTTGCTTTAACGAGTATACCACATTTAAATCAGCAGTTACACTTGGAATTATTGTTTGGTTGAGCTTGCAATAATCAATTGTCATCATCCAGAATCCATATAGTTTTTGTCAGAGCAGCACTGGTGAATAAAACAGAGATAAATGGATACTCGCATTCTTGCGTCTTTGAGGTATTTATGGGTGGCAATAACCTTTGTCATTCACTCTATCATGCAAAATTATTTTGGGTTTACTATCGTGTCCAGTGGAGAGGAGGAGAGCAGTTTCAGGAGCCTTGGTCTTTCTCACCACAGTACATACCAAGCTGGCCAAGGAATCAGTGTGAACTTTGTACCAATTCTTAAGTATGTGATGTCCAATTATGTATTCAAAGACCAAAGAATGTCTACTGGGTGAGTCCTTGGGCCTGCTGTGAACCAGACATAAACAAGTACTCTATTACTGGGACTCCATAGGCTTCTACTCTGACAGGAGAGTCATGATCCTTTCCTGGGAATCAATGTCAATTTACACCTGCATTCTGCAACCCTAGAAATGTATGTCCTGGATTTTTTCCCAGTTATTCAAATAAATGGGCATGAATCCTGTTGTGAACTGATTTGTGCTCCCATCCAAACACATATGCTGAAGACCTAACCCCCAGTGGGACTATATTTTAAGAGAGTGTCTTTAGGAGGAACCTAAGGTTAAATAAGTTCATAAGGGTAAGACCTTAATCTCGTAAGACTGGTATACATATAAAAAAAGGGAAAGGTACCATCTCTGCACATACACAGAGAAAATGTCATGTGAGGACACAGTGAGAAGGCAGTAGCCAGCTCCAGGAAGAGAGACCTTATTGAACATTAAGCTGGCTAGCACCTTGATCTTAGGTTTTGAGCCTCCAGAATGATGAAAAATAAATTTCTGTGGTTTAAGCCACCCAGTCTATGTTATTTCATTATGGCAGCTTGAGAATACTAATATAAGTCGCACTGGGTATGGACTGGAGAAATATTTACCATTTACTCTAGTCTTGGTGTTGAAGAAGGCTTCCTTTTAGGGATGAGTTCTCCCATTATTGGGTCCTCTGTCAGAAAACTGGCTTGGGCCAAACTAGATTGGGGTAATAGTTTATACCTTTTGAGTACATGGTTGCCCTTAGCTTACTAGTAATCCACCCTCGATTTCTTTCCTATTGTACATGTGCAGCAAAGTCAGTGGTATACAACTGACTGTTAAATTTTCAAAGGTTCTCAAACCAATTGTTAAACATAGTTAATTGTAAAAATTGTTATCTAAACTTCAAATTAATAATATTAAATTAATAAAATAACATTAAAGCAAAGGTATTCGTTGGTGCAAAAGTAACTTTTGTACCAACTATAAGGTGCATGAATGTGCTTTGGTCAAGTAGGCTGAGACAGACATCCAGGCCATGGTGACTTAGCGCGTTTGGAGCGCAGGCATATAACTCCACTTGTTATCTAACCTATTTGTATAAGATCATACTTGGCTCAAATCCACTATTGTTTGGAAAAGGTATAACTGCCCTGCTGATGCTGTACAGGAGCTCTTGGGCTTGCCTTGGCTCAGCATGGCATGGCTCACACTGGTACCCAGAAAGAGAGTAGCACGATTGACCCTTGTAAGGGAGAGCCAGTCGCCTTGAAGGCAGGCAGAGGGGAACCAGGAACGAGTTTGTGCCCAGAGGGGAAGAGTTAAGCTGCTGATCCTGACAGAGCTGACCTTGCAGGCCAGGGCGTGCTGCTGCAAGCGCGGCGTTGGCAGGAGTCACAGAGCCAGAGCACATCGCAGAGATAAAGGCAGACAGTGTGAGAGCGTCGCTGATGGTAAATAAAACTACATTTCACCTGCCTAGGGCCCCCAAGTGTTCTTTCAGCTATCGCCCATCCACCCACTCCCCTCAGACCTCAGCAGGGGCTGGAACCTAACCCGGGTCATGACATTTGGAGTAGTTGTGGCCTTAATACCAACCTAATAAAATAAATACTTAGAACTCATCAATTCGTGATGGTTTTTAGAACATTTTGCTATTATCAATGCATGAAATTATTAACATCTGTTACACCTATATAGTGAAAATAATATGTAATGCTGTATTACTGCATATTTATTTCCAACTCTGTGTGTTCAGTGATGTCACCTGGGTACCTTGAAATCAGCAATGTTGAGAATAATTACATCGCGGAAATCAGCTGGTGTTACAAACCAGAGCTTGTTGTATGTGAGTTTTTCTGTGTTCCACCAGTTGTTAAAGGACAGCACAGAAGTGGAAGCACCCTTTTTGGCTCTCTGTATTACTTCTGCGAACATTGAGCTCTATCTGACTCTGCTATAGCTGTATATGTCAGTAATCCCGGCTGCTATTGCAATCCAACCCTCATTACCATAATTGGCCCCACCTTGTTCCAGAGTGGCGCTCTGACACTTGGCATTTCGTACGTTAAACTCTGTGCCAATACTCTCTCTGAATTCAGTTCTGTGGGAACATCTCCTACTGTGATCTTTGGCATGCGGAGAAGAGCTATGCTAAGCTTCTCAGCGATGTTTATGTAGGACTTGTTCTTCCACCAGTGCTTTCCTTATTGCTTTGGGAAATAAGGTGCCCATTATACCATCCCATAGAACATAGTCAATTGGTGGATTTCCTGTCCTTATCTAGTTTACCCACTATAGCACGCCCACTTCTCTAAGCATTTTTATCTTTTCTTCAGCTACCTGCCATGGAAATTCTGGAATGTTACTCTACTTAGTATGAGCCATTGCTTTCTCCAGTCTTCTGTGAGTTATTTCAGCAGTGTGTCAGCACTGTTCACAGCATTTCCCCAAGTTATTAAATTCTATATTGCAACTGAATGCCCCAATGCTGATAAAATCTCCCTTATCCAGTTTTATGTTTCTGTCATGATCTAGCACCCTCAGAATCCAATCCCACTGTGTACACTCCAAGCTGTTGTTATTATATATTGGTTAAGTCCAAATTCATTCTGAGTACAGCCTTTTCTCTCCCTTATAAGCTTAGCACATAACCTTAGTTATTGGCCTTATGACCAATAACTTCTTAGAAAGGGAAGTAAGGGAGGGTTGTAAGGAGGGTGTGAAGGACTCAATATTTTCTTTAAGTAAGGAAAAAGGCATGACCTCAACAAGGGAGAATACGTAACTTTGTTAGGATTAGAGAGTCCAACATTTAGAAGCTTCTAGATTTTTAAAATTTTTGAGAAAAAAATTGTGGAAAGTCACTGTATAAAAGATAGAAAGTATTTTTAATACTTTAATACTTTCATAAATGATGAAAGTATTAACACACTTAGAAAATACTTAAAATAAATAATATAGAAAATGGGATTTTTCTATATTATTTTGCAACCCATTTTACTTATTTATATACACATTTTTATGTGTATGTTTCTCTCTCTACACATATATTTACATATATATATAATATCTTAAAAGTCATCATAAGGAAACAAATAAATCCATAAAAATGGGAAAAATATTTAAATAGGTCATTGAAAAAAGATATATGAGTTACCAATCCGCACATGAATAAATGCTCAATATATCATCAGAGATGTACAAATTAAAATCACATTTAGATTCTACTACACACCTACTAGAATGGTTACATTGAAAAACATTGGGCATATCTAATGTGGCTATTGATGTGCAGCAAATAGAACCATCCAATAGTAATGTTGGGAATGGCACAACTTTTTGGAAAAATATACATTTATAAAATAAAACATACATTTTCTATCTAACCTAGCAGTTTCACCTCCAGGTATTTCTTCAAAAGATTAAAAAACATGTGTCAATAGAAAAACTTTTGCATAAATGTTTATTTTGACCTTACTTATGATATCCAAGAAGTGGAAAAAGCTCAAAGTAGTAATGGATACATTTTATTGTAAAATGGATAAAAAAATTTTTTGTGTTGATACAATGAAATAGTACTCAGTAATAAAAAGAAATGAACTGCTGATCTATGCAACATGGATAAAACTCAAAAACATGCTCAGTGAAAGACATCAGACTTACAAGAATTACCGACTGTGTCATTCTGTTTACAGGAATTTCTAAAACCAGCAAAGCTCATGTTTATTGATAGTAAGTTGACTGCTGCCTGGTTTCAGGGGTGAGGATGAACCGCAAAGCAATGGCAGGGAACATTTTGCTGTGTTGAAAATCTTTTCTATCTTAACTGTTATATCTTTACTGTTTTCCTTTTTGGAACAAAACTAAATTTCACTCAACCATAATTGAGTAATCTCTATATTTTTCTAACCATTTCTAATAGTTCTTTGGATAAAATCTTTTGTTAACAACAAAGGTGGAATATATTCATTTCCTCATGAATTTTCTGTCTTTTTTTCTGTCCAAAAATGAGAAGAGCAATTTTGTTATCTGTCCTTTCCTTCTGCCCAGAAATGATTAAACCTGTATTTCTTATTCTCTTCATATTTTCTTTCTTTTAATTCCTTTGTACTACGGTTTCTTCTCTATTCTCATTTGCTTTTCCTCTTAAAGTTTCTCTCTCAGAACAAATGCAGTGTTAATCCCGAAGCCACTTGTGGGACACTGGCTGCTTCTCCTCAGTTTCCACCCTAATATATTTGTTGAGGGGTAATTCAAAATCACTGGGAAACTGATTAGAGCAGATTTGAAAATAAAACTGTGGCTTGGTAACTTAGCAAAAGCATAATGGCAATGGTGTCATCTTGTATGCTGATGATAACATTCTGGGCCCTTGGTTACTTTCGTTTTCTGTTTTCCCTCTGTGTGTGTTTGTGTGTGCTCACACCCATAAGTGTGACTGTGCACACATTTGTCTTTGAGAGAGAGATAATAGTTTTTGTTTTTCTTTCAGTAGCCAAAGTTTAAACCATTGCTTTTTCTTTGATTCTATCGCTTTTAAGGTGATCTTTCTTAACACAGGATAATAAAGCAGTAATGCCCTAAAGAATGCTGTTTAATTAATTAGTATCAGCCTCTCCTACAGCTCTGGAAGGATACCAGTTCTGTACTACTCCTGGATGAATCAGCCACTTGAGCAATTTTGTGTTCTGTAGTTCAGATGAGAATCCCCGTTGAGAACGTAAGAAAATATGTGTTTATTCTTCAGCTTTAAATTTTTATTTCACAACTTCCTTCCTCCTTGGCAAGCTTTTTTTTTTTTTTTTTTTTTTTTTTTGAGAAGAAAATTGTAATAAAACAACAGTATAACTAATAGATAGTCCCTTGGTCACTTCCAGTTTGCAAAATGCTATTTAGACTTTGAGTTACTCTTCAAAAGTGGTATACCTCTAGTTTGGAGCTGTGTTGTAAAGACAAGAGCAACATTTTCATATTAAAGTTAAATAAAGTTATAACTTTGAAGAGAGGTTCTGGAAGACGTGACAGAAAGCTGCTAGCAGAAAATCAAAAAACTGATTAAAAGAAGCAAGGTAAGAACATTTCTGTTTGTTTAGATTGACCGTTATTTATTGAAATTGTGATGCATAACGTGAAAGCCTTTGAGAAAAGAAATATATTTTGTGGTTTCTTTTGTGAAGCTAGAAAATTCCTTGTTATAACACCAAGATTGAGATTTGTATGTGACTGTTTTGTCCTAATAAATTCAGACTTACTTCACATTATTTGAATTACAATGGAGAAGGTTTAACCATGACTTAAAACTGCTCAAGATTTAGTTTCACTTTTACTAAGTATTTTATAAAACAAATACTTAAGAAGATGTTAGCTATGATCCAGATACTCATACAGTTCTCAGAATGCATACATAATATGAAAAATTTAGCTAATATTTCTAATATTTTTAAAGATTGCTTTATTGGATGGTGTAAAGATACTCTGGGCTTTAGGAGTACTTAACGGAAAGAATATATCCCTTTCCTACACTTACTAAGGAATTGCTAGTATTCCGATATCCATGGAGACGTCTTTACCAACCCTAAGAAGGATAAGAGAGAAAATATTCTAAAAAATACACTGTGAAACAATGTGGTAGCACTGGATTTATTAAATAGCAAGTTCAGAATATGTAAGATCCAAACTACATCGCTGGGATTTCAACAGGGTTTATTTATGTCAAAATATGTGAAAGAGAAGAGGCTGAAACTAAATGCATTCAATACAACAATCTATGATTTAGGGATTTAGGGACTGTGATGAGCTTTAAGCATTTCCCATTTAACTAAGTGTCAACCTACCAGTGCATGCTACTGTCAAAAAAATTATTACTGTGGTACAATTGAATGCATACTTTATCCTTCCTCCCTTATTTTAACCAGTTTTATAATTCTACCTAAAGTTAGATAAAAGAAGTTTAGGGGGAATGAGATCAATATTTGATGGTAGCATACAATATCATCTTAATCAAAAGTTTTAAGAATGCCTTCCAGCCACTAGTAAAACCAGTGTTATTTTCGGTTGTATAAATTTATACATTTGTATATAAATACATTATATAATACAATAATATATATCATATTACATATGAATATATTTTAAAAGTTACTGAATAATATATTCAGTATAAGATTATATATATTATATATACATATATATCTGAAATTATGAACATTGCTTTAATAGCAGTAATTTAGGGCAGTGTGATATAATTCAGTTAGTTTTTATATACATTTTAACAAATATTTTATTTGCTCCACTTATCAATATTTTATGGTTTTTTTCTATAGCTATCAGCTAAGAAAAATAATATTCTGTTTGATTTTAAATGCACTGGTCACTCTGTATCTTTCTTATCTTTCCTTAGAGAGCAGAATCAAACACAAAATGGTTGAGTCAGTGAAACTTTGCTATGGGGAAAACAATTGCAGTCCTTAGCTGTTTAGATTACAAATTTGAATAGATTATAAATTTAGATTATAAATTTGATTATAAATTTTAGTTACACTGTTAATTAAATCCATTGTTCTCGAACTGTCTGGGGAAGTGTTCTTTGATGCATAGCCTCATCAAACGTTAAGAAGGCTCAGCAACTTTGAAAATCAGTTTCAATATCAGCTTCATCGTGGGAGATCACAATTTTTTAACTTTTTGAAAGGCAGCTATGCTAACCACATTCTACCAATGCCACTATTTTTTTTTTAACTCATGTAAATAATTACAGCCTCCTAAATAAGTATTGAGAATTCAGTAACAATGAAAAGATTCTGGGAAATAAAAAATAAAAAGTGAAAGCAACTTACAGTGAGTGTAAAAAGCTAGATTTCAGGGCTCAGGAAGTAGAATAAGTAGAGAATGAACACATAGTAGATTTAAATTTGTACCTACATATTCAGAAGTGCAATAAATGTTGAATTCATTAGTTATTTAAATAAAATTAAATGTTACTTCAAGTCTCTATCCCACTGAATGGACAGGACGGGTTACTTACTTTCTGTCATTTGGTGGTATTGAGAGTGAGAGATTTCTTCCAAGGTTATATGAAGTTTCCCAGGTTTTATAAGACATCGAAGTGTTATAATGGTCTCCATTCATCAGTTTCCACTGATTACGTCTGAGAGGACCACGTTCCAATATAAATTATCTCTTCGTGTCTAGTTCTACTATTTTGTGCTGCACTCATAACAAAAGCCACACTGTTTTTTTTTTTGTTTGTTTGTTTGTTTTTTGCCACATTTAAAGTACAATCATCTTTTTTGAAGCTGGGGTCATCTGTACATAAGATCTACCATCTCTGTATACACCACCAAGTCCTTATACTCTAATACCTTGGCAACTTTGCAATTGAAAGGCCTCCTATTTTCCCTGCATCTGCAAATTGTCATTTCTCATATTGTCAGGATGTGCATTGCCCTTCTACTTACCTGTTAGCTCGGAGTTATTTCCTCTGTTTTAAATCCCTTCGCAATTCTCAGAAACATTACTTCAATAAGCTACATTTTTTTAAATTGAAAAGGCCGTTGATTTAAGTAGCTTAGGGTTTTCTTTTCAATAGTCATTCTGGAAGAAAGAATATCAAAATGGTCTGACTACCTCCTTCAAATAACGGATATGAAACTGACTCGAAAAATACTTCTACTTGCTGCAAATGTAAATAAACTTTACACTCTTAACACACACAAAATTATTAAAATATTTAAAAATAGTACAACTATAACACAAGAAAAAAAAATAGCAAAAGTTACCTTTTATTTACTTCCTGTTGTAACTATACTTTCTAAAAACACAACATACATATGCTCTTTAATTAAAAAAAATAGAAGTGATACTAGTTAATGGATGAAGAGATATAGGATCAAATGGGGGTAAGAAAATACAATTACATGGCACAAAGGTTTGATCAAGATTTTGAAATCATGATATCTCTAACTCTATCTTTTTACATTATGCCAATTCACGGGGAGAAAAACGGAATGACATACTGACATATTTACTTGATTCATGGCATGGAAAAGGGAGAAAGAACTTCCTGTCTTTTTGATACCTGAGGTTTAAAGAAAATTAATAAATAATTCACGATATTAATAAGGTTATATATGAAAGATAAGAAACCTCATCAGAAAGAGCTTGGACTGACGTTCTGAACTGAGGCATGTACAATCCCAAAAAGGATGACCGTCATCCTGACATGACAGTCATATATATATACATATATATATACACACACACACACATATATACAATCTTATATATATAAATCATATATATACACATCTAAATTACTGCTATTAAAATGATGTTCATAAATTCAGATATATATGTATGTATAATATACATATGCTGTAATCCCAGCACTTTGGGAGGCTGAGGCAGGCAGATCACGAGGGCAGGAGATCGAGACCATCCTGGCTAACACAGTGAAACCCCGTCTCTACCAAAAATATAAAAAATTTGGTGGGCGCCTGTAATCCCAGCTACTCGGGAGGCTGAGGCACGAGAACGACGTGAACCCGGGGGGCGGAGCTTGCAGTGAGCCGAGATCGCGCCCCTGCACTCCAGCGACAGAGCGAGACTCCATCTCAAAAAAAAAAAAAAAAAGAGATAACAACTTACATTACAAAGAAAAGAACAGCAACAAAGGACAAAAACACTTTTACTCCACCCTCACACATTTTTAATTTAGTTGTCCCAATTTACATATTTTTTTGCCTACCTCTTAACTGGTTTCTGTAGCTGTCATTGTTTTTGATAGATTTGTTTTCTGGGCTTCATACTAGAGATGTGAGAAGATTGTGCAACACAATTACAGTATTAGAGTATTCTGGGTTTGTCCATACATTTAATTTTATCAACTGTTTTCTATTCATGTGTTTTTTTACCTTTAGGCTGAAAAACTCCCTTTAACATCTCTTAATAGACATGTCTGGTGGTGGTGAATTCTCTCAGTATTTTGTTTGTCTGGGAAACACTCTCTTCTTCATATTTGAAGGTTAGCTTTGCGGGATACAGTATTCTTAGATGGCAGAGGTTTTTGTTTTGTTTTGTTTTCTGTTTGTTTGTTTTTCAGCACTTAAAAAATGTCATCTCTATTCCTACCGGCCTGTATGGTTTCCACTGAGGCATCTGTTGTCAGATAAATTGGAACTCCTTTAAATGTTATTTTCTTGTCTTCTGTTGCTGATTTTAGGATCCTCTCTTTTTCCTTGACCTTTGAGAGTTTGATTATTCTATGCCTAGAGATAGTCTTGTTAGAGTCGGAATCTGTTTGGTGTTCTCCGACCTTTATCTACCTGAATCTTTATCTCTTTATCAAGCTTTGTAATGCTTTCTGTTGTTATTTCTTTGAATAGGCTTTATACCCTTTGCTCTAGCTTAACTCTCTCTTGAACACCAACAATTCTTAGATGTGGTCTTTTGTATGATTTGCTATAACATGTAAGCATTCTTCATTCATTTTTATTCTTTTTTCTCCTTTCCTTTTGTATTTTCGAAAGCCCATCTTCATGCTCACTGATTGTTTCTTCTTCTTGATCCATTCTCTTTTGAGAGCCTCTAGTAAAATTTTCAGTTCAGGAAATGTATGTTTCAGTTCCAATACCAGTTTTGGATCTTCAAAAATTATTTCAATCCCTTTGTTAAATTTCTCTGATAAATCTCTGAATTGTTTTTTGTGTTATTTTAGAGACCAGTGAGTTTTCTTAAAACTACTATTTTCAATGCTTTGTACAAGTGCTCTCATATTGCCATTTCATTAAGGTCTGTCTCTGGTTCCAACTTTGTCCATTTGGGGATATCACAGTTCCCTGTTTGCTCTTGCTTCTTATGGATATTCATCTATGTCTTTGTGTTGAACGATTTTATATGGCTTGTTTTGGTTTATATTGAATATGTTTGTTTAAATATTCTTTGTAATTTGCCTGTTGATTTTTTTGGAGAGGAGCTAGGTTTCTGCCTCCTTGTTAAGACTACATGGTGCCTTAACCCAGGTTTGCCTTGGTTCTAGTAAACAATTAGAGTGCCACCCATACCAAATGGGGGAGCTTCCAAAAGGGATAACCCAGTAGTGTGGGAAAACTGACTAGGAGTTCCAGCCCAAGGGACCTATGCAACGAATCTCCTATAGCATGATGCTTCTCGATGGCCACTCTAAGTTGGCATCTCCTTTGGCCAAGTAACAGAGCAGAGTTTCTGGTACTGGGGATGGTAGTCCCGCCTCCCCACTTTGTCTCTGCCTGTCCTCATTCAGGCACCCCTGATGCTTCCCAAATTTTTTTTTTTTTTTTTTTTTTTTTTTTTTGAGACAGTCTCACTCTGTCGCCCAGGCTGGAGTGCAGTGGCCGGATCTCAGCTCACTGCAAGCTCCACCTCCCGGGTTTACGCCATTCTCCTGCCTCAGCCTCCCGAGTAGCTGGGACTACAGGCGCCCGCCACCTCGCTGGGCTAGTTTTTCGTATTTTTTAGTAGAGACGGCGTTTCACCGTGTTAGCCAGGATGGTCTCGATCTCCTGACCTCGTGATCCGCCCATCTCGGCCTCCCAAAGTGCTGGGATTATAGGCTTGAGCCACCGCGCCCGGCCTGCTTCCCAAATGTTAAGGCAGGGGCAAGTTTCCTGCCGGGGAATTCAAGCTGGTGGGGAAGCTGGTTATCCACCTTGATCTCACTTTTTCCAGTATAGAAATGATGTTTCCATGCCCTTGGGTACCAGGAAGATTGCCGGGAGAGGCCTCATGGATGTGGAACTCTAATTCTATTATCGGTATGGAGTTTTTTGTTGATTTTTCACTTTTCTGTGGCTGCAGGAATTGTCTCCTCACATTTGAGTTCTGGGGCATTGCTGGTGATAATCACAGCACTAATGTTTTGTTGTTGTTTTCTGTGGGGGACATTAAAGCCAGCTTACTTTTATGCTATCATTTTGGAACCAGAAGTCTCCTAAATGTCTTTATTTTTATTTTTCAGGTATGATGACCAAACATAAAAAGTGTTTTGTAGTTGGTACTGCTTTAATAATAATAACTAATATTATTACTGTATATCTAGGTAAGTTACATCCTTTATTTTATTTTTCATGACTTTCTATGTATGATCCTATTCCTTTCTGTCTCAGTCATGATCTTTTCTCAGTATCTCATTATCTTCCCATTATACATGATAACATTTATTTGGTACAAATGAATAAATTTTATTAATTACATGACCTATGTAAGGCATCAGAGATACCAAAATTATTGTAGTAAAATTATTCACCCTGATAATCTCACTTCTATTCAACACTTTCTTGCCTATGTTAATCACTATGTTGACTTCTATTGTTATAGGTTAGTTTCGTCTATTAAAAAATTTTATACAAATACAATCAAATGTAAATACATATAAAATACAATATGCAATTTGCATGTATCATAAATACAATCATGCAATTTGTATGTATCTTTGTATCTTTTTCCTTTTATTCAACATTATGCTTGTGTGATTTTTCAATGTCATAATAGGTAGCAGAAGTTCATTAACTCACTATTATAGAAAAAGGTTGAATTTTTTTTATGAAAAGACCCAGATAGTAAATATTTTATGCTTTTTTGGCCATACGGTCTCTGCTGCAGCTACTTAATTCTTCATAGAAACACAGCCATAGAAAATGCATAGACATTGACCATGACTGTGTGTCAATAAAATTGAACATGGAAATGTAAATATTATAAAATTTTATATGTCACAAAATAGTGTTCCTTTTTAATTATTTTGATTACTTTCTTTCTTTTTAAAATGTAAAAGTTATTTTTACCTGGTGGTTGTACAAAAACAGAAGGTGAACTGAGTTGGCCTCAGGCTGTATTAGCAGATGTTTCGTGTAGTGCATTCACTGCTATGTATCACTTTTGATGAACATTTGGATTGTGTTACATTTTGACTATTGCAAATTGGGTGGTTTTGAACAACTGTATAATTTTACATTTTTTGTCTTTTAATGAATACTGGAAATAACTTGAGATATACTTATAAGAAGAATTATTAAGCACAAAATATGCATAGATTAACTTAAGTGTATTTTACCAAAAATAGTAGATAATCTCAGCAGAAGTTGCCAGTTGCTCCATGCCATGTCAATGCTTTATTGTTGGTTTTATCAATTTTTACCATTCCAGTGAGTGCATGTTGTTACTCGATTTTGGCTTTAATTGACGTCTTTCTGATGATCAATACTGTTCAGTACCTTCATAACTGCTGTTTATTTAGGTGTAATATTTTGTGACTGGAATGTTTCAATACTTTCCCTATATTGTGGTGAGTTAGCTGTCTTTTTCTTCTTGGTTCATAAGAGTTGTTCAATATTCTAGATGAGACTCTGTAGTTTATAGGTATTGCAAATATCTTCTTTAACTATGAAGCTGAAGTTTACCCTGTGTATCATGTCTTTCAATCAACAGAGGTTCTGAATTTTAAAGTAGTGTAATTATGTTTTTCCCTATTGTCACTACATTTTTCATCCTATGAAATTCACTTTACTTCAAAGACATAAAAATATTTTTGTAGGGTTTCTATTTTCCTTTCACTTTCCAAAACATAATCCTCTTGAAATTTATTTTTATAAATATTAGAAGATAGATATTAGGATGCATTATTTCCCATTTAGTTAAACTTTCAACCTGAAACAACTTACAGTCTTTTTAGACTATACTTTCCCTATTTAACTGCAATTGATCTTTGTCATCAATCAGCTGTGTAGGTGAAGGTCATTTTTGCTAAAATTTTATTATATTAACTTACTCTATTTTATCTATCTTTGTGTCTATATCATTCTGTCTTAACACTGTCAGTTTATAATAAGTCTTGATGTTTGGTTGTTTAAATGTTTGAAAGTTTTATTTTTATTCTTCAAGTTTACCTGGAGCATTTTAGATCCTTTAAGCTGCCATATAAATTATCTATAATTTTGATTGAGATTGCATTAAACCATAGTCAGTTTTCATGGAGCCATTATCTTAATATTGAGCCATACATTTAAAATATTAATTTGGTGTTCCATAATTTCTGCCAGCAATTTTTATAGCTTTCATAATAGATTTCACACACATCCTTTTAATTTATTTTTTAAAGACTCGATGCTCTATAATGCAATTGTAAGTAACATAGAAGTATTTTCATCAACCTTATTTTCCTATTTAGTCTGTTGCTGGCCTATAAAAATTATTGCTATATATTTAATATATACCTATATAAGCCTCACATAGCAAATTTGCTATAGTTAACTATTCATTTTCATAAATTGTCTTCAGTTTCTTTTGTGAGTTCTATGTAAAAATTTACATTATCTGAAAATAATAATTGTTTTACCTATTCTGTTGGAAACCTTATGCCTTTTTTATTCATTGTATTCTCTTATTTTACTGGTTATAACTTCAAGTACAAGGTTGAGTGTAAGTAGTGACAGCTTACATGTTTGTCTCATTCTTAAATCAATAAAGAGGTTTTTAATATTTCCCAATTAAGTAGTAGCATTTGCAGATATTCTTAATCAGAGTAAAGGTGTTGTATTTACTTCCCTTTAATTTAATTTGAAATGTCAAATGCTTTATCTTGATCTATTGAGATACTTTCTTTTCTCTGCTAGTATGTAGAACTACACAGATTTTGTAATATTAAGATAATCTTCAATTTCTGTGATAGATTCAACTTGATCATAACCTATTAACCTTTTAACAGTCTTCAATTAAACTGAATAGTATTTTCTTTAAGATGTATGCACATATATCTTATGTCTTCATAAGAGATCGACCTATAATTTCTCTTTCTTTCAATACTATTGTCAGGTATTGATGTGATTGTGATGGCTTCTAAAATTTGATTGGAAAGTATTCCCTCCTATCCTATTTTCTGAAAGAGTGTGTATAACGTTGCTGTTATGCCTTTCCTAAATGATTAGAAGTATTTCTAACTGAAGCCATCTGGACAGGGAGATTTCTTTTTGTGCAATTTTTAAAAATTAAAGATGCAATTTTTAACTAGATATAGTATTATTTAGAAGTACTGCTTTTATCTTGTCAGTTGTGTTAAATTTTGTTCTTCTAGAAATTTCTCTACTTTTTCATTCTTTGTGTTGCTAATTTGTGTTTTTATCTCTCACTTTTACATTTTTTAAAATCAGTTTTCCTAGTGGTCAATCTTGTTTTAGAGTATTCAACAAAAGTCATCTTATGACTTTAAACTTTTCTTCTATTTGGCATTAATTTTTTATTCAATTGATTTCTGTTCTTTTTGTTTTTTAAATTGTGTCTTTCTACTTTGGTTTTAATTTATCAGTATTATTAACTTTGTAAGGTAAGATAATTATCTTTTCAAAAAGTCTTTCATCATTTCTAAAACATAATCTGAAGCCAATGAATTTTCCTGTAAGCTTTAAGGGAGTTGCTGTGTCCCACAAGTTTAGTTGAATCCCAGAAGTTTGGATGCTACTGTGTTTTGAGATCATTGAAGACACACAGGATTTTGATGTAAAAGATTATAGTCACAGCAAAATTTGTATATCTAATATATAACAGGTTGAAAAAATTTTATGTCTTGTCATGTTAGGTCAAATGACAGTAGTTTAGGACTTATTAGGACATTTATATTCCTTTCAACTTCAACTTCAGTTATATATCTTCCTGGAGGCACCAGAATTATTCTACATGTAAAGGTCATCCCTACTATTTCTGGGTAAAGGAAATATAATGAAATCATAGCATGATCTAAGAGTAACACAATCACTAATTTATATTAGTATATGAGAGAGATATATACACATATGTGTATATGTATATATATACCCTTATATGTACACATACCTATATACATATATATACACACTGTGTATGTATATAAAATTTTATCTTCTATAGACTCTTGCCACCAGATGACTATAGGTGATAATTTAATTATTTTGCCACTGTGCTCCACTGCCATCAGCATTCTATTTATAACTGGTAGTTGGATCGATGCCTTTAAAGTGAATTATATTTAAAAAGTAACACCATATCTCATCCTTAAGGTTCTGTTTCCTTAGAATTATGTTTGGTACCAAAAACTGATTCAGTCTGGGTGTGCTCCAAAATACAAACACGTATTATGAGAATAAGGCTTTACTATAGAAATTACTATAGAAATTGTGAATGTGGGAACATCTGGAAGTGATGCATAGCTGAAGGCTGGGGCTGTGCTACAAGCTGGATGAGAAATGGTCACTAAGAATTGTGGCATAACACACTAACACATTTGGAGGAACGTCTAAGAAGCTAAGATATCTAGCTGCCGAGACTGCAACAGGGGAACACATGGAAAGACCTGTGAAGTTCCTATGCTCATGGTCTCCGGGAATTATACCTTCTGCTTTACTTTCACCTTCCAAATCCCCTGTGAGTTCCATTCATTGGCTAACCCAGAGCTATACAGTGATGGTGATTCTTAGCTGACAACGAGCGGTCCAACTTATTTTGTATTTTGCTTTATTATTTTTGTTGCTTCTTTGTATATTAAATCACGTATTTAGATTCATTGGTGACTAATATAAATTGTTACTTGGATTACTCTTAGTTAATACTTGGACTTCCTTTTATTTCATTTACCCAGAAATGGTAAGGGTAAGTTACACAAGTAGAATAATTCTGGTGGCTCCTGGAAGACCTGTATATCACTGAAGTTGAAGTTGAAAGAAATATAAATGCCCTGATAAATCTTAAACTGCTGTCATTTGACTTAACATGACAAAGATATAAATTTTTTTCCAACCTATCATATAATAGATATACAAATTTCATACTGACCATAATCTTTTACATCAAAAACCTGTGTGCAGTGATCTCAAAACATATTTTCAGTAGCATATTATTCTATATGGCCCGTAAGATATATATTTGTCTCATTTCCAGTTAAACTAACTCAAGATTCTCAGAGTTTTTGCCCATATGGCTGGATTGGTTTCCAAAACAAATGCTATTATTTTTCTAAAGAAGAAGGAGACTGGAATTCAAGTAAATACAACTGTTCCACTCAACATGCTGACCTAACTATAATTGACAACACAGAAGAAATGGTAAGTAATTTAATATACATTCTTTGTGAATTTTCTTGAGTCAGAACATTAGAAATATTCAAATACCATCATAGTCTTGAAGTCTTTTCACTCATGCCTATCTATGCAGAATATTGAAGGTGTTCAGAATATGCCATGTGACACAAAGGTGAAATACCTAGTGATGCTTTGTTTGAAGAATGTAAGACTAACATCAAGTAGTAGACTTAATATCTATCTTTATATTTTAAAGAGTGTACACAGAAGAGCTTGATAATGTTTGAAAACATTTTAAGAGCCAGTACTCCCCCAAGAAAGGAGAATTGTCAGAGAAAGGAGGGGATTCTCCATTCTACCTCCTGAGAGAAACTTTCCTCTGACTTCTCCATTTTGTTTTGCTGCCTGTCTCTGAGGTCCCATGGCAGCTCCCATTAGAACACTCTCTACCAGTAATGCAATAGAGAGGAAAACCAAAATTTCTGCCTAGACCAGAGTATAAGTTTTCAGTGAGCAGATACCATGTCTTCTCTGAAATTTTATCCTTAGCATTATTGTGCAAAGCAGGTACAAATGAGAAGTCTAATGGATCCTTGTTGAATAAATTTTGATTTACATGACAAAATCTCTATGAGTAAAGAGGCTCTCCAAGAACTTTAACAAGGGATTGAAAAACTGCACCTCTGCATTCGTGAAATTTGTTCTTTCCCCTAGTCATCTATATTGTAAACATACATGTTTACTTACCTTTGTTTGGTCTCTTTAAGAATGAAAAGAAAATATAAGAGGTAATATGACTTGATTAAAAATATTTTTTGCAAATAATTTGCTATTGAGAAGTGTTTCAGTGAAAAGCAGAATAGCACAACAGTCGACATTGTTAAAAGACAATTGTGGTGAACCCTCTGTGGTGAAGAAAGTTTATGCAATCTGCCTGAAGATTGGTTCAAATGTAAATGCATGCAAATCAGGCAGAGCCAATTGATAGGTCAGTGAAAGGAAACAGAACTATTTTGCAAGAAACAAAAGGTAATAAAATGTTGAAAGCTAGATGAATGAGGAGTAGATATTGCAAATCAAGAATTAAGGTGCAAGTTTAACATCATAGGAAGGGCTTCTGTAGTCAATAATGTCGCTGCTGAATTTTGCAAGAGTATTGAGAAATACTCTGTTCCTTACAGTTCCTCTTGGTGGAAAGAAAGCTAAACTAGCAGTGAGATGGAAAAATAATGAGTGTTAATAAAATGAAAGATGAAGAAATGGAAAGACAATCAATATTAAAGTAAATATATCCACTGTAGGAATATTGTCTGCAAAGATTGACTAAATAAATAGTGAGGATCATGGAATGTGAAGACCAGAAGTATATAAAAATAATTAGTTTTGAACTTAAGAGAAATCTTCAAATCTATCAAGGAAGAATGCTTGTACTGTCCGGATGAAGAAAAAACACTGATCATAACATATCCTGATATATTTTGAAGATCATGGATGACCATATGTACTACATACACTGGCAAAATTTAAGTGACAAACAGAATGAAGTAAAGCTGTCTGTGGAGTGGAGAAGAAATTTGCATAAGAATTTTAATAGATGATTTAAAATAGTTTAATTTAAATGTGAACTTTAATTACAAAATAATATGAGATAAAGTTTGTCTTACAAAATATTTTTATATCTATTTCCACCTATTTAGAATTATTGCACTTCTAACAAGGGGCTAAAACGGGGCAAGCTTTTATTGAGCAAATAATGTTAACACATTTCATAGAGCAGGACTAGGAAACACATCTCCCAGTTCTCTGTCACCAAGACCAGTCAAGCTCTCGCCTGAAGCCTTTCCCGAAGTTCTTTCCTGAGTCTAGACTATGAATTACCCTCTTCTCCTTGGCCATCTGCATTTACACGGAATATTCTACTCTTGCCTTAGAGCACATCCTGTGTCAAAGTTTCCCTTAAAAACTCATATTTTTTTTCTGTAAGTTCCAATTCCACATTGTATTTATCACACTCATAACTTCTCCATATCTAGTAGAATATTTTCTAACATTATGTTTACGTTACTTTCCTGTAAATGAAGGCTTTTGAATGTAGGACGGCGTTTTTATTAATCTGTTTATTTGTAAAGCCAAAACTTAGCCCAACTAATTTGTTTTCCAGTTTACACAATGCTTGAAGATAGTGTATTAAAATGTCAAAAGTTACAGGTGTAACTTTTGTAAAGTTGGGGTAGATAGGATTTGACCATAGCGTTGTGATCTGGCCTAACTCCTTTATATTTATCTTAAATTGAAAAGTAGAGTGATGCAGTGTGAAGCTTATAGTTTCCAAGCTGTTTAGTAGCAGAGTAGCCTCCAGGACTTTAATATAACTCTATGATTAAAGAAAAAGGTCGAGGGTTAAGCAAAGGCGAGGTAAGTTAAACAATGCATCAGCAGGAGAAATGTCAGGAAAAAAGCATTGTATTTATTTCTGAATTACGTATTTGGAAATTTAAATGTTTAGCAGAAAAATAAAATTTGATAATTAGGTTCTAAAGAAACTGGATATATGAGGATGTGTATGTGTGTGTATTTACGTGTGTAGTTTGGGGAGATAAACTGAAGTAAAACATAACACTAAAATGAAGCTACTACTATTTACTGGGAAGTGGACAAATAGTATAATAAATATCTGGTAATTGGAAACGCTGTGCAAGAGCTCAATTTCAAACTTGGCTTTCTAGGAGCTTATAGTTTGAAAACTGTGAAGGAATAGATTTTCAAATTGAACATTTATCAATTTGGAATCATATCTAAAGAAAATGTATCTAACATACTTGTTTCACAAAGAAAACTGAAGGCCAGAGGAAAAATAAAGTACTTTTTAAAAACTCCATGGCTATTTTCTAGTGAAGCCAGAAGTTGAATAATTGTTGCCTTGCACTTCACAACCTACAGAACAAGAGGTACACAGTAGGTCGTCGTAAAAAATGGCATGTATGATTTTGAAATTAACTTTGTCTCTAAAGAATTTTCTTAGGCGATACAAATGCAGTTCTGATCACTGGATTGGTCTGAAGATGGCAAAAAATCGAACAGGACAATGGGTAGATGGAGCTATATTTACCAAATCGTGAGTTTATTTTTTTCTGGGACCACTTAAATTTAGATAGTGCAGCCTTCTCTAGGACTTATGCTTTAGCTAAAATTCTCCAGAGCCCAAGATTTTTGCACATGTTAGAAAGATGGAGGGGAGATTGAATATATATTGAGATTCATTCAAGGAGGCAACCATGAAGGTTGGAAATTAAGATATAAGGGAACAGATCTCCTAGTTGGCTATTTTGGAAATAAAGACCTGAGATTCATACACACAACTCCCCCCACCCCAATTGAAACTTTCATCTGATAATAAACTATCTTGTCCAATTATATGACTCTTCTTTAAACTTTTTGTTGCCTATTTTCTGATGTCTTTTACAGTTCAATTTCAATTTGATGTTCATTTTAATCTGATTTTATTTGCAATTTCGCTATTATGCAATTTGTCATGGGCTTCATATCTTTAGCATTATAATTTAGAAAATGTGTGTACACATCCCAAATGGTGACTCTCAGTCACTTAGCCACTTAGTTTATGTTAGAGTTTCTCAATAGAAACACTACTGATATTTTGTACTGAATACTTCTCTGTCGTGGAAAGGGGGCACTTTTCTTTGTGCGTTGTAGGGCATTGGCAGCATCCCTGGATATACTGTCCACCCTGCTTGACTTCTACCTCTGCTTGTGACAATAAAAAACATCTCCAAATATTGTCAAGTGTCCCTTGGTTTGGAACCAAAATCACCCCTAATTGAAAACCATCGGTTTATGTGAACTGGTAGCTCCACTGATTACATGTAACCAACCTAATGCCAGTTTAACATGTACAAATTCTTGGAAAACAAACGCTTTTGATCCAAATTAGTATAGGTATTTCAACACTAGCAAGAGAGAACTGTGTGACAGCATACCTTTCAGCACTTTAGATAAGTAGAACTTTTGTTTAAAGGTGTGGGTGGGCAAGGAAGAAATCACATGACTCCATAATGGTTAACCCTTTTGTTGCAGGTTTGGCATGAGAGGGAGTGAAGGATGTGCCTACCTCAGTGATGATGGTGCAGCAACAGCTAGATGTTACACAGAAAGGAAATGGATTTGCAGGAAAAAAATACACTAAGTTAATGTCTCTGATAATGTGAAGAACAGAAAATAACATTATTAAGTGTAAACCAAACAAAGCATTTTTTTAATTAAAGGTGAAGTTTTGTACCTGTCTGGTTAATTCATGCTTATGCGTCATGCTACACATAAAAGCCACTCCAAAGATTGGCAAAAAATGGTTACAGGTATTCTGCTGAGTTTCTTTCTTTCTTTCTTTCTCTTTCTTTCTCTTTCTTTCTTTCTTTCTCTTTCTTTCCCTCTTTCTTTCTTTCTTTCTTTCTTTCTTTCTTTCTTTCTTTCTTTCTTTCTTTCTTTCCTTCCTTCCTTCCTTCCTTCCTTCCTTCCTTCCTTCCTTCCTTCCTTTTCTTTCCTTCCTTCCTTCCTTTCTCTCTCTTTCTTTCTTTCTCTTTCCTTCTTTCTTTCTTTCTTTCTTTCTTTCTTTCTTTCTTTCTTTCTTTCTTTCTTTCTTTCTTTTTCTTTTTTTTTTTTTTTAACTGTAAACCAGAAAACAATTGTAGGGATCAAGGATAGACATGACACTTAGATAGGACTTTCATGACCCAATTTGGAACAATTTGAGTACCAGAATAGGAGATTATAGCCTATTGAACAAAATGTGAAACTGGGAGTCCACAAAGATGTAAATGGAAAGATGAAGTACCTCCTGACAGAGCAAGAATGGCACTGAACAATGTTACATGGATAATGGCGATTTTATTCAAGACTATTACAATAGGGAAAAGAGACTAGGACTCAGTCTGAACTAAAATCTGTCAAAACAAAGCGGGTGGGGGCTTTAAGAGTGAAGGTGAGGAGGAGATCATACACCGTATGTGTTTGCTAATTGGCTTTCCCCAAAAGAAAATTAAACTTTCTTTGATCTGTACAAGTTGATCAAACAAATGGGGTCATTCTTGTCATATGCAACTAAAACAGGGTAGACAATCCAGGGGAAAAAGGCACTCAGGGCACATAGCATTGCTTCAAAAATATAATTCTCTACAAACCTAGTTGCTAAAACTACCTGTTGTCACCTAAAACCAATTTTATCTGACAGCTATTAAAACAACCTACTGTGACTGCAAGACTGGTTTTACCCACCACCGTCACACACCAGTCAGAACGTGCCAGCTCCTCAAAACTTTACTAGAGCCAATAAACTTTCTTTCAAACCAATACGTCACTTTTTTCTTTTTTTTCTTTTTTTTTAAATAACACCTCCAACCTTCGTTTTGTTCTTTAGACAAACCGAAGTCCCCTGGTCCTCACATTTAGGACAAATCGCAATTCTTACCTCTAATACAGGATTTTCAATGTAGAGATCTGTCCCTATATTTTATTTTGATTTTGACCCACTTAGTGTCAAGCTGGGTTCCAAAGCTGACTCAGCTTAGGGAGAAACACTGGCCCACAGGCTAGGGCATGATGTACTCACACTGGGGCTTATTGACTCCTGTGACCCCACTATTGCTGCAGGTTGCCCCATTTCTCCCTGGTGAGTCTCTTGGACTGAACTCCCAAGTTTAGTTTGCTTCTGTTTTATTTGGATTTTAGATGAGGAGGGGTCTTTCCTCTTCTTGTTTCAGAGACCTCTTTCTCCCTCTGGTTGGAAGGTCTTCTGTTAGGGAGGACTATTTTCCTCCTGGCAGACCTCAGCTGTGACGTCTGGGTAACGGGATTTCTCTTTTCAGGCTGAAGCCTCGCCAAAAGCATTTTTAATTTTTCCCTTCAATTGAAGAAGGCAGCTGATCTTCCTTCTTGGGTTTATTTGGCCTTTTCATAATCAGTGCTTGCATTTAACTGGCTTTTGTGTATTTGGCATTAAACAAAATCACCTAGATAAATTTAGTTATGAATGGATTCTCAAAGTTTAAAGGCATGCCAAGGTATTTTTTGTGACTCTAACTGGTAACATGTTCAAATATTACAGAGATCATTCAACACTCTGTTCTTAAATCTAAACTAAACGATCACGGCTATAAAATTATTCACTCCAAATAAGCCTCATATCGCAATTGATTGCGTCACTACAAAATGCTATCTCAAAGCTAGCTGAGACTCTTTCCTCTCCAGTTCTTTCTTCTTCTCTTATAATTCTTCCTCTTCATCTTTCTCTGAGCTAAACTCTTTCCAAACTCCTCAAATATTCTGGCATACTGATTATTTAAGTAAAAACACTTGAAAGTCAGAAAATATAAAAGAAAATCATTTTTACTTTTATGCTGTTTCTTAAAAGCAAAGGGTGAAATTCCCATGTAAAAGACACTTTTCCCATACTAAAAGGAATGGCAACATTATTATGACCAAAGACAAGCAATTGAGACCAAGTAAACACTGTATGAACCTTGTTAAAATCTTCTGGGGACCTCCTCACTTAATTGAGTCACATTCTCAAAGTTAACTATTCTTTGTCCGATCCAGTATGTTGGTAACTGACTCAACCATCTTTCCCCAAAAGTTAGTTCATGGCCTTTGTAAAATTGTTTATTGACAAAGTCAAAGTAAAAGAAAACAAAACTTAAGGTTTAGCCTTATCCCATTTTGTCAAAAAAAGAAAAAAAGATTGAGATACGATTGTTTTTAATCAACTGATGAGTTAATATGCTTTACTATTTTATGACTAAATTCAAAAATCTAAGCTATAAGGTCTCTAGACATATATATGTACATGTTTAGAAGTGTTTCTACAAACGTATATATGTTACATTATATATTAAGTCTAAATGATAAAATAAGCTGTTGCTGGACAGAAATTTCTTTAAAACTTTTATTTAGATAAATGGGCACTCATATAAAATGTATTTTAATTACGCAAATGTTTTCTTTAGTTTACATAAACTTAATATCAAAGTTTGAGATTGATTTAAATCTCAAATAAATAGATTGCTTTTAATTTGTTAATAAAATAGCGTTAGAAATGGTTTCAAAATTGCCAGCATACATTTTTGCCTGGGTTAACTGGTCAGTTTTATATTTGCCCCTACTAGATATTTTAAAGTCATAAACCTATAAACCCAACTTAAAACAAAATAATATTTGATATATTATTTTGATAAATAATTTTTAATAAATGAGATTAATTTTAAAATCTATATTTTATTAATAATTTATCAGATTATTAATTTATATTATTTAAATTAAATTATTAAATAATGGTTTGATGTCCATTATTAAATTAATAATATATTTAATTAAAAGTTAATTATGATTTAATACAAATATATCTTCTGGGTTAATGATGAGATGTACATGCATTTAACTTCAAGCTTCTTAGATTAACATCTGATATTAACCAGCTACAAATTGGTCAATAAAAAAACTTAAAATGAGTAGCTCTAATATCTGAATTTTCATAAGTAATTCAAATATAATTGTTAATAAATAAATTAGATAATTATTGATAAAATAAATGTTTATAAATGAAGTTTTCATATAACTTAAAATTTTAAAGTTACCTTACATTACGTTAAATATTAGGTACTCATTAAATGTCTGGTTAATACTCAAGTTAAAAAATTAAAACAAATTGTTAAATAAGTTCCTTCTAGCATCTTAAATCTTATAAAAAGACTAATAATATATAGGTTTTCAATCAAAATATAAATTTTAAAGGGTAATTGTGTGTGAAAAAAATCTTACATAATAATTTTCTGTCCTAAGAAAAAAATCTTACATAATAATTTTCTGTCCTAAGATAAAATGGTTGGTTTTCCCAAAAGAAAAAATAAAACCAAAAATTATAAGACTAAGACCGGAGGTTTTAAAAAAATTATAGAAGGTCTAAGCAAGTTAAAGAAGAGTTACAAAAAATGGGTCTTGGCCGGGCGTGGTGGCTCACGCCTATGATCCTAGCACTTTGGGAGGCCGAGGCGGACAGATCACAAGGTCAGGAGTTCAAGACCAGCCTGGCCAATATGGTGAAACCCCATCTCTACTAAAAATACAAAAATTAGCTGGGGGTGGTGGCGGATGCCTGTAGTCCCAGCTACTCAGGAGGCTGAGGCAGGAGAATTGCTTGAACCCGGGAGGTGGAGGTTGTAGTGAGCCGAGATCAAGCCACTTCACTCCAGCCTGGGCGACAGAGCAAGACTGTGTCTCAAAAAAAAAAAAAAAAAAAAAAAAAAAAAAAGATGGGTCTTATAAAAGAGGTTTTATGTGGTGAGATTGAGAAAAATATACTTATGTGTTTTTCTAAAAAGTAAATATTGGTATCAAGGGTGCATTGATACTTGACCAGAATCTGATCCTCAATATTTGAAACTACAAGGTTTTCTTAAAACATGTATATGCTGTTCATAAAATTGCAAGAGGTTTGATTTATAATCACAAAATCTGTGTTTTTACCAGCCTTATTCTAAACCACAGTGTCTGTTTCAGCCATTTTTTCCCTGGAGGTCTATTTAATTTCCCTAGTTACAGGCTAAACATGCTCTCCTATCCATTTACATAATAATTTCACTTCTTGAAACAAAGTTTTCATTTCCAAATTTCTCAGATTCATATCTCAGTGGTTCAACTTTTGCTGTATCTCACTGCAGGTGATTTGCAGGCATACATCACTACTTTGGGTTTTAATACCATCGAGAACCTTGAGAAGGCCTTTTTGTTTTGTTGTCCACTCCAGTAATTCTTTTCCTCTGGTTCTAACTCTGCTGTTATGTCCTGACAGTAAAATACTTACCATGAAGGCCTAGAAAAGCAGTGTTTTCCTTCAATATAATTTGATTTTGTACTCTTTGCTTTTCTTGATATATCTAATTGTTGCACTTATAATGTTAGACACATTGTTCCTGTGTCTGATTAAATTCAAGTGTCCTTTTCATCAGGTTCAACTTCCAAATTATCTAAATGAACATTCTATAAGGAGAAACAATTACACTGTAAGCAGCATCTAAAGTGTCTGTGGTTTCCTCATTGACTTAGGGTGTGATTGTTAGTGGAGGCTGTGGTGAGGTTTTTTTGGGGACAAGATGCCAGGTGGGCCAGGCCTCAGACCCCAGTGGTGGCAGCAGTGGGCCAATCATGCCTGTCTTTGGGTCCCAGGTCAGTATCTGGTGTTAGCCGGATGAATTAGGCCAATTTTTGGTCCTCTGGCTGGTTCTGTTGAA